TTAGTTGCTCCTTCGAATTTCGCCAAAGCCTTACCTACATTTTACCGATATCTGCAGAATAAATCAAGAAAACTACACAAATTTACTCCTTTTACGAATTCCTAACGGTTAGTCCGAACGCACGACACCGTTGGAGGCGTGACCTGTTCAGCATTTGTCAACAACCAATCACAAGACTGGTTACTGACCCCCCCCCCCCGCTCATAGAGACTGCGTATTACAGTTGATTATAGTTCCTGGGCTCCCTGTGGTGTGAATAGGCATTTCATGTGAACTAGTCAGATTCGAAACAGACACTAGCCTTATCTTTTCCAAAATGTGAATTCATAAGAGGATTGTTTGGTTTAGTTTTAATAAAAAATAACGAAGCATGTGCCATACAAATGAATTCTTGATCCGATATTGCTTCATATATTCTGTTCTACAGTGTTATGAACAGTGTATATATTGTACGAAACCCACAGCTGTTTTTTGAGTTGTCATCCGCACTTAGTTGGCTAAGGCTAGCAATATGTATATTTCGATGACATTCTTGCAGGCGAATTCAGTTTAGATTAATTATTTTACTGGGTACGCACCTGCTTTTAATTGAGATTAGTTGCGAATAATAGAGCTGTCACGTGGCATGGACTGTACATTCGAATTGCGCAGTGATGGCGAGTTTTACTGCAGATGCGGCGGCTGGAAATAGTGCATGCCTGGGCGAGATCTGCTTGCCATCCCTTGCTCCCCATGGGCGGAATGATTCTCGCATTGTTTATATTGTATGCACATGCTCTGTTTTGCAACTCGGGATAATAACGGGAAATATTTGTTATTGTTTTTGAGGGAAAACTTTTTTTCCACAAATACATAATAATAAGTCTTTATGGTTACGTTTTAAAAACTTGCGGCTGAACGTTTTTTGACTTATGTTTTCAGGGTGGTATTTACTTTCTTCCCCAATAAATTGCATCGATCGTTTCACATACATTCAGTGAACACTCTGTTTATTCACTTATGAATGTCTCGTCTATTTTAAGTGGAAACATATCGTCAGATCTGCAACTATCAACAAAACATGGCAGCCATCTTGAATCACGCGCGCCTAGCTATTTTTAGCGATGATCATATTCGTCCGACACCGGAGCGCTAAGTGCATGCGTAGTGAGGAAATCGAGGTACAAATTCAAACGATATACTCAGAGTTTTTGAAAATGCATGTGTGCGCATGGCTGTATATACATGTACCGGTGAGAGCTAAGGACCTTACTCAAATACATTCAAAATGTATGTTATGCGGTTTTATAAAAACACTGCGTTTTTCTATCGTTGTGCGTATTAGATTTTGGATTTATATACTTGATACACGAGAGGAGAAAATAAATCCTAACAAATAAAATATTTCTAAAATATTTCTTCAAATTTGCATCATGCATGCAGTCGTACGAGGCTAAATTTGAACGAGCGGGGACTGCGTCCCAGAGCGCTAGCGGCGCGCCGTGTCTTGTGCACATCGCAAAAACGAAACTGTATCGAACATGTTTAATCGGTTCTCTAAATCGTATTAGCCTGAATTTATAAGATAGTGGTAAAAATGACGGGAAATAACGCAGACGACACACCGCCTGCTCACGAGAGTTTCAATAGTTACCCGAGTAAATACTTATACAGTTTATTATCTATTGATCTATGCATTCAATTTTGTTTTGTAAAATGTAATTACATTTCGTATGATCGCACATCCAAAGATCCATCACATCGAGTTTTAACAAGCGCTTTATATTTGACATCAATTGACAGGTATATTGGTTTTTTGACGCTCTCCTCAGTCCGCGAGTGAACATTCAGGACATCGATATTGTGACGTTACAATATCGCGCGATACTCATTTGACACGGCATTTGTACTCGTTGACTCGTGATCATTCACATGTTTTTCATTTTAGGTGTCAAGAAAGCCCTTGTTGGTCAGATAATAGCGGGGTTGGTTGGAGGCATATTCGGTGGACAGCCTTTAATGGTTTTGGCGACATCGGCACCATTGGCGCTCTTCACAAAAGGTACATCTTGTAGTCCAGGGCTTTGGGTGTATGTAGCCCTGTACCATGAATTGTTATAGTAATTTACGGTACTAGTAAATTACTGTGTGCAAGCAATCATGGGGCTATACTTCCATGGAAACATGGGAAGACATCGTTTCATGTGTTACAGATAAAATCATATTCTGTTAGAACAAAAATAGCATTTTTTATCCCCAGACTGTTGAAGTGAGTCAATATATATTTTTCTTTCATCCCACCATGTCGCCAGCCTATATTAATTCGATATGACATAATATCTCCACCATATAAACTAATAGTGAAGAGTTCTATTACGGACAAAATGGCTGCCAACAAAGAAGCTGCTGGGGACCTCAAACTGTCAATATCCTTATATTAACCGGAAGTACACATTATGCATTTTGCATGTTCACGCCGAGTGCTATCGGAATGTAACATTCATGAACACATGGAGACTAGTGGTATATTTTAATACATTTGCATTTACAAACGACGAAGTAAATGCCACCGAATCTGGGTGTAGTATCCAGTCCGAGTTTTCATGATACTTGCCGGATACCGTGATAATAATAAAAAAAAAACTTTGGTAATACACTTTCGGTTATTATGATGATGCAATTATGGGCAGAAAATAATATTTGTATTTTGATACGCACATTGTAAAATGTCTCCAAGCAAGTTTTGTATTCCACTGAACGATTTCTCAGACAACTGTTATAAAAAAAAAATGTTCGCGGCCACGCACAGTTCTGGATCTCTGTGTTCTTTGATTGTTAAGATGACGCATACCATAACACCTTATGGGGGGGGGGGTTATAATGAAGTTAAAAAAATCGTAAATATCTAAAAGCTGCCTGGGCGGTATATGCAAATGAACGACATCGAACCGAGCAATACGAGGACTTTTGTCAACCTAACGCAAGTTACGCCCTCTGCCGGCAGCTGAACAATCATTACCGGGAGAGGGCATACTTTGAAACGATTCATCTTAACATTTTGATTACAACTACTTTTACGTGTTTTAATATAGCGACGAATAAAACGCTTGTAAAATGTGTATTTCCACTGACAAAAACCTAACGTTCTCTTTTTAAATAAAAGTGTTATTTTAAACAAATATACGTACTTCTTTGTGGTCATTATTGTGTTCATTCACTTGAAGTTAGAATTTAAAAAAAATATAATTAGATATTTACAGCGAATCATTCACTAGTTACAATCACCACACTTTATCTGTCACGTGGTTATCATTTCTTGATGGCGCTATGAATGGTTTGTTTGTTTGTTTTTTATTTTAGTTATTTACATGTTCTGCGAGGAGCGTGTCTGGGACTTCCACCTCGTGTACGGGTCGATAGGTATATGCAGCTCTGGATTTCTCATTCTCTTTGCCGTGCTCGACCTCAGTAAATACATGAAATGGTCGACTAGATCCGTCGATGAAGTGTTCTCCGTATTTGTGTCTTGTACGCTCATTAAAGAAGCCATCGACGCACTACGATACAGTAAGTCAAACTCGACTGTGGAGGGGGAGGTGTTTATCGGGGTCTCCGCTAAATATTTCGACTCTGTCACTACACTCCACTGCCACGATTCTTGGTCTACTTTTATTGCGCTGGCAACGAACACCACCTAGCGATAGGTTTTGTGAATGCTTTCGTTTGTGTGAATGAATGATGTTTAACAACTGACCGTTATTCTGTGGTGTTTGTTTCATTTTCCAGATTTCAACCAGAATTATAGTTGCCTTAAAGGCATATCGGAAAACATGTACGTTGCAACAAACGTCACCTGGGAGATGACGAAGACGAATATCACCCACGAGAAGTACGAAAACGAAACGGGCACTGTAGAGGGCGTTTTACCTGGCATGATCATTCACAACACCACGACCATTGTGCGAGAATGCGTACACGGCACTTGTTACCCAGAAAACAGTTTGTTGTTTTTAATGCTGATGCTGGGCGTCCCTTGGGTAGGCATAACACTATATAGATTTAAAAAAAGGTAAGTGATAAATGAATGAATTAGACTAATCATGTACAAGAAAATGTGTTACATGACGTGTCCAGACCAATCATGTACAAGTGAATGTGTCACATGACGTGCCAGACCAATCAGGTAAAAGTGAATATGTCGCATGACATGTTCAAACCAATTACCGAGTTTCGATTAATTACTGAACAAAAGTCATTTGAAGTTTGTGCACGGCTATTGATGTTGTAAATAACCTTATTTGGCTGCTACAAAACGACATTTTGACAACAGCTTGCGTCAAAGTAAACGTGTTTTGTTTTCGTTTCGTTCGATATGCACCCGGATGATGCTTTTGCGTAAGTTATTTTTTTGTTTGTTAAATACGGCTTTAATGAGTTACATTTTAATACTAAACATGTACGAGACATTACTGTCGGCTATGTTCTCATTGAAAATGCACGTACAACAAACAGACAAATAAACACACGCGAATACCAATAGACCATTTTCCGTTCACTGCGAGAATCACGCGTTATGCGTGAAATCGAACGTAAAAACAGGACAAACAAAGGTCATAGCGTCGTAGTCGCGTCAAACATCGCGTGGGATTCGACAAACACGAAAGTATTTTGGGGGACATTTCCATGCTTAATAATGTGCTGTCCACATTTGATGATAGGCAATTTCGATTAAATAAGGGTATTCGGAAGCAATATTCCTCTGTCGAAGATCGGCCGGTCGATGTGAGCTACGAAATAAAGAAATTCGAGTTCAAAATCAAATTGTTCGATTTTTGCGGCAGACGTTCGACGCTCGTCTTTCATGCATCTCGCGAGAACTCGCAATTGTACGGAAAATCACCTATTGAAGAAACTATTTTTCAAATCATAATGTGTAATGTAGCACCAACTTCGAGTCGTCATAAGGTGCGTCGTCACCTCCAGTGCACTGACCTCACGATTTATCAAGGCCGTAGGAAGCAAAAATTAGTTGGTCCGGCCATCCATCGAGGACCGTAGGCCCGAGGCGTATGTTGACGTATGCCGAAATAGAGGGATGGGCAGAAGTGGTCTGGCCATAGCCGGTGCGGTTCCTATGGCCTTGCTCAGAAGTCGTGCACATACCATATATAGGGTGCAGCGTAAACATACACCGCGTCAAATTGTGCGCGTTGTGTGGATGTACCTAGCCAGCAATCAAGCCATACCGAGTACAACCATCGTACAACCTAGTTTCACAATCATAGGCACACCCTACAATATCGGGTAGGAACTATGGACTATAGGGACTACGAAAGGAATACAGTGTGGGAACTTAGCCGATGGCGCTTACACTGTAGAGATACCAGGAATACACATTAGTTCATTACACAGATAGTCCAGCTTTATTTATCCAAACGGGTAGCTGAGGTGAAATCTTACAAAATTACAAAATCTTACATACTCTCCAATAACAATCTAAGGCGTGGCAGAGTAAACATGTGATCAGCCGTTGACATGATCACGTGACTACCTGGGATATGTCTCAAAGGTTAAAACCTCACTGGAATTCCCATTACTGAATACAATAAGTAAACAACTTGAATGCATTTATAAAAATTCTGAAATATGATGTTCATAATGTCTACTTTAAAGCGCGGTGGTCGTCGCTCAGCGCGTGTTCGAATTTCATGTAATTAAACAATGTATTTTACACGCGTTGTATACGTCGCTATGAGTCCCATATCGAACAGGACGCGGCACGACGACTGCCGCACTTTAAACATGCAATTGTTGATCCTAAATAATACTGCAACGTCGTGTGAACTAAAGAGAACGTTGGGTGCGTGATGTCATCATGGTAACAGGTGTATCAACAATTCTGGCTTTGAGATAGACATCCGTGAAAGCGGTCCATGATCGTCACGGTATCCAATACTTAACTCTAATTATGTTTTTTTTTTCCCAGTCCTTTTTTAGCAACACTGTATCGAGAACTACTTTCAAACCAAGCTTTAGCAATAACCGTTATATTGTGGTCCTTTATCGGCTCTTACTGCTTTAAAGATGTCCATTGTGAGTTAATCAATTATAGTATCCAATTTATTGTTGTCATGATTCGCGCCCTGTAGCGACGATACGCGTTTGTGAAATAAAAAAGGCTGTTAGAGGGAAAATAATTATCGACAATAATTGCTGCGTAGTTGTTCACCACAAGCTAGTATTTTTTTTCTAAAAGCATCAATATTATGATTTATTGATGGGGTTATACAGATCAAAAGAATATCGACGCGGTGAACAGCCTTTCTTCAGCCCATTTACGCCACAGAAGCGCATCGTCGTTAGAGGGCTAGTATTCTGTATCGTTAGTCGTGTTTAAATCGAATATGCGGGACGTAATGTTTCTGCCAGTATACGCACCTCAATATACGGTATGTTTGGCGGTTTTACTTTTATCATATAATATTTCAGAATCGGATGTACTCTATATAAATAGAAACCATGACTTCACCGCGATATCACACTTATATGGGCTGGTGTGCACTCTGGAGTAGCGATAACTTCCAATATTGGCGTATACTGTTAAGCTGCTGAGCTACACAATTGACATCATATATCATATTTCACATCTTAGTAACTCGACATATACCAATCATTTATCTTACAGTAACACCATTCCCATACAATCACAAAGCCGATGTGTTTACGGTCAGTAAATATAGGGAAGCTGGCTACGCTATCTGGCTATCTGCGCTGGGCCTTGGTCTTTCTCACGCTCTAATGGTATTCATGGAACACAATATAACGGGTTCCATTCTCAACTCGCCAGAAAATAAGTAAGTTACCTAGTTACGTAGGATTAGTTTCGCTACCGATATCATTCATCGATATTGAGTCATGGTTTTAATAGCGTAATTCGAAAATGACGTCACAAAACATCATGTAATGTTATTAATTATTCAATTTTCCTTGTAGATTAAAGAAGGGGACATCGTATCACTGGGATCTGCTCCTGTGTGGCATCCTTAATTTATTCTTCGCTATATTCGGACTTCCAATGGTACATGGTATTGTACCTTTATCACCTATGCACGTGCGAGCGTTAGCAGACGTAGAGGAAAGAGTTCATTATGGCTACGTGCAAACAATGTGAGTCTGGGTATCAGTGGCGCTGTAGTGTGGCAGTACTAATGCAAACGCAAATTTGAAAACTATTATTTTGCCTAGTCAATGACTCACGTTCGAAGTGTTGTTGAATCACCTGTATGATTCTAAAACGATAAATTTTATGTAAATACAATGTGGATCACCATATGCTATTCTCACTAGAATAAGGGCATTGATTATTTCAATTATAACCCATTCCAGAACTACTTTTGTTCAAAGAGGTTGGCAACCATCTTGGAACGTCACCCCATATTTGTTATGGTACAAACCGCTTGATTGGTTTCTTCAACACATAATGGAGACGTGCGCTGATTGGTGAACAACAGGAGCCGCAAAATGGCCACGGTTTACGACGATACTATCATTCAAATACCTGTATAGTATGCTATATCATTTCATAACTGTATTTGTTTGTCTTCTTGTTTTACAGTATTGTGCGAGTCCGAGAAACTCGTCTCACTGTCATAGTGTCTCACATATTTCTTGGCGTGTCACTGCTAATGCTGCCGCTACCTTTGCAATATATACCAATGGCAGTGCTGGCAGGAGTGTATATATTTCTAGCAATACAACTATTCGTCGGCAATCAGCTATTTGAGAGGATGTTACTTTTTATTACCGAACAAGTAAGTACCGAAATTTGCAGCAGAGTCGAAGCACATATGCAAGGTAGAATTTGTTACGTCAGAACAATTTTGAATAAACGCCCTGCTCATTGATTGGCATTGTCGCAGTATGTACATTGCTGAATTTATTCATTTGGATAATTTCAGATATCGAGACTCGGTGAAAATACTGAACAATCGATGTCAGTGATCACATTTGAAAGAAAACACAAAAATTCAGTCCAAAAGATTGACAAAACCGTTGCATACAGTGGAGTGTATTTCACTTGTCGTTCTTCACCGATTTTTATCTTTTTTTGTTACAGTCGGCGTATCCGCCGAGCCATTACGTTAGACGAGTACCTCAAAGAAAGATGCATCTATTTACATTAATTGAGGTCGTTGAGTTGATAGTGCTGTGCGTGTTTGGTTTCTCATCGATATCCTACATGAAGATGGTTTTCCCGGTCATATTAATACTCTATATACCTATAAGGTGAGACTAATAATTACTCAAGACCAGTTACGGGTTGTCTGAGTACGGCATGAAATCCGTCATTTTCTTTCAGCCTCGTTCATAGCATCCAGTGTAATAATCAGAAAATCCCCCTAACAACTACTCGGAATTGCTACTTTCACATCAGGCGAATGTTGCATTTGACTACCACAACAACAGAAAAATACGTGTGGTTATTTTGTACAGTATACTGTTGACCTTTCATTTCAATATAACAGCATAAACCATGTGTTCTTACTGTTTCAGACAACTGTTAATACCACGGATTATCGAGAAAAAATATCTCGAGTCGTTAGACATGCATTGAGGGATACTGTCCTCTACTTTGCGAGATTAGGAGAATGTATTTGAGTAGGTACCGTGATGGAATTGCTGACATCGTCTGCAGCGGCTAAAGGTTTCTGCACAGGAATACAATCTACGTCGGCGCTACGTACATATGATTTTGGATGTTTGACAAATATTGAAACAGTTGATGGAATGTGGATTTGGGAAAAAGTGTATCGTCATCATCAACGTCGATGAATTGGCTTTAAACTGTTTTTACGATTAAGAAACATCACCGGGAAAAAATGTCGTTGTTACAGTATGAATGTCACCCGTGAGTGAGAACATTAACACTCGGACAACAAAACTTGTTGTCAATCAGCAATATTTTACATTATTTACCAGTATTTTAACTGAACTATGCATCACTTGATATGAAGTTAAGATGACCTGCCATATTTGTGCATTTATCACTCCGTGGATACCATTGTGTTATATTTATTAACAGTGGATTCGTGTAACTTATTGTAAAACGCCGCCTGGATGCACAACATATTTGATTGGTCGAAAACTCCTCACGTTCGTTACGTGGTCATACCATGTATGGCTTTGCGTTGATCTGGTAACACCCATGTACACGTATAACTGTACATATTGATTACAATTATGCACTGCATGACCATATGACCATCTACTCAATTCTCGCTTTGAGCAAACCAGGACAAATTTCACACTTTGTTAAATACCTAACGAAGTTTCTTTATACTGGAGAAAACATGCGCGTTTAAAAAATCGCGGATATTAAGTAAAACAGTATTTAGTTCATGCAAATGCAAGTAATTAATCATCTTCGCCAGACAAGGGAGGTATATTCGGCCAAAACCTCGCCACTATTTCCTTGCAATTGGCGAGTGTGTACTAAAGTGCGCCCTCTTTGGCAATTTGGACAACCCGCCATTTTGTTTTATGCTCATTGACACAATCGATGCAGGCATTGATTGAGTGCGTGCTTGATATTCAATCGAAGTCAAATACTCGATTTCTTGGTAGAATCACGCACGGCTTTATAACATAAAGTTAAATAAAATTTTTCAAAAATCAGGATATTGTCAGGATTTTGAAAAGCGAAAATATCCGACGATTCCCAGAGAGCTGTACAACATTTTCTGTTATTTTTAATTCTGCCAGGCAGATGTTTCGGAATATATATTATGTTGCCGAGCCATCGGTGGTTTGGCATCAAAGTTCGGCATATTTTTGACGTAGAAAATAAGACTTTAAAAATAAAAATCCACAAAGATACTGCACGGCGTTTACTAACTTGCATCATTCCGTATACACGGCAATATCCCGGTGTTTGGTAAAGATAGTGATAAGTGATTTTAAACATGCACTCTATTTTACAGCCTTTTGATATGCACGTCGTCCTTTTGACAACATGGAAACTATTTTATGAGCGAACCTACAATTTGCCCAGAGCTTAGCTCGACGAGGAACAAAAAGTAATCACTGCACGAGTTTAATACTAGTAATTGTAGAGTTACGGATTAAATATTCCGTTTATCCCATAAATTCGTTTAGAAGCTTCTAATTTGAAAGCGTATTCAAGGTATCGTTTTATATGTTTCAGTCTCATTTTCATGAATAGACACTTTTTTACTACACGTTTACCTTCACGCAATTACTGATTCAATTTGTGCCACCATCCGTGAGAAATAACCACAAGAATGAGAAACGCACGTACGAGAATTAAAAACGGTGCCTAGTGTATATTCAGCTTAATAACACAAATTTGTTTCACTGATATCCGAGACTACAATACATATTCGAAGCAACATAATTGTAGTAATATGATAACAACCCATAAAAACAACAACCTATTGAACAATTTGCGTATTTTTGATAGTCAGCCATGATGTCAGAAGTTTAACCTGCATGGACCAATCAGATTTCATAGTATGAAGATATCGTACAATATTACACTGCTTTATAAAACAGAACTGTCAGGATATATGGAATAAATGGTATTTCATTTTTAATATTTTTTTAAATTTCTGCCTTGAATTGAAGTTTGTGAGCACGCCCGTCATGTCTCCACTTGTGGTCGCTCTCGATGCTGAGTATTGCCAAAACCGCGGGTATGCGACTTCCGCTGAAGCTGGTGCTGAAAACACGTTTTCAACGCATGTAATTTTCATTGTTTACACGGAATTGGAACACGCGTTGTATGCGTCGCTATAGGGTCCATGTCGAATTCGAATAGGACGCCACATGGAGAATTTGTCAGTCATTAATGCATACACAATAATGACAAATTGCTTGTTTCATTTTTAGATTTTACATATATGAAAGACGTTTCCCCTCGGTGTGTAAATATTCCAGCTTTTTTATTTTTCTTCATCATTCTTGATATTTAACTTGAAACTTTAATATTTCATCTTGCAAACGTTTTAATAAAATTTCAAAAATTGTAGTAGAATGTCTTTTTTCTTTTCAATCATATGATCAAATGATTCCTATTGGATTCACTTTAGCTTAAACTTAATATCTTTATAGCACTAACACTGCTCTAAATAAAGAACAAAATGATCTCCTAATGTCAATGGATGGCCAACACGTTTCTGTTTTGTTACTTCTCAATTTAACAGTGGTATTTGGCACTTTGAAACATGATATACTATAATTGTAAAAATTGCAAAGTATTTCGGTATCTCTCAAACGTCTGCTTCTGTTAGAGGGCCAGTTGAGCAAGGCTAACCGAG